TAGTTTCCGCTGATTACAAAACTTTGTTTTTAAAATTGTTGTAGGGCGGTAATGATCATGAGATCTACGACGACCCACGAACCATAGGCCATGCAGTTACTAGTCCGACAGATACGATACGTATTTTAAAAGAGTATTTCCTGGATGTACAAAACTAGGGGTATGACTTACCGTATATGTATTATGTAAAGGAGTGATCATGCACATGGCCGTTGTACCACGAGTCGTCGTGGCCGCTTTCGCGCGCCACGTAGTCATTGGCAATTGCGTCATCACCTTCACGCTAAGGCCAAAATTCTTGCTGAAGCGCTGAATGCCTGAACGCCCGATAGGCACCACGGTCCGCGACTCGTGAGTTCGTTCAACATGAGCTCATACATTGACAATGCATGGCGCCATGCTGGCGGCAGAGTCCGTCGCAAGCGTCGACCGCCAAAGAGGACTTGAGGACCTGAATTATGAGTTCCCTCGTTTCTTCCTCCATTCTTTATTGATTTCAAAACTTGAGAATAGGTTATTAAGGCGAAAGGACAAAACGACTTGGTGCACGCTGCGCCGCTTCCCTCGGGATTCAAATGAGCATATTGTTGGTTGGTCTATATGCGTCTGTCGGACTTCATCTTCAGTTTGGGCGCTAATGCCGCGGCAGCAGGGGAGAATTTTTTTTTCCTGGAGCCAGGACGAGACGCAGGCGCTGCCGATATACCTTCATGGCTCGAAATATGAAGTAAATTATTGAACCATGGCCCTACGAATGATCTTCTTGTCTTACTTTTATCTGTCGGTACGTATCCATTCACGCACCTTCCAACTGCTGAGCGTTACCAGTAGCATGTCGACCCTTCCTCGTGGCCCCTTACTGATATCGACTGCCTTCTATTTTACGCTCGAGCTGTTAAAATATTACAAAGTTTGGAGCCACTGCATGGCTGTCTCCCGTTCCTGGAGGGCATATAGCGGTAGTTCGGAATAGTGGATTCGATGCTAATATCGATAATACGTTCGTCTTGGTAAGCTAGCAGATGTACTCAGTAGTTCACCCTACGTTAAAACTTAAGACGCTGAGAACTCTGTGCGACGTCAACGCGTCACATGCATCACACTTGGACAGCCCTTTCCGACAGTGCTCATTAGGCGCAGCGAACACGACCAGATCTGCGCATACCTCGAGTGGTGTTCGAAACTGAAAGGGTCTCGTCTCGCCTCAGGTCTCGCCGCCGTATCTGGAAAATGCTATACATAGCTTGGGCTGAGCTTGGGAGCTTGGGCTGTCTAACTATAGGTGTAGCGCATTTTCCGAGGCCTGAAGGCTAGGTCCGGGACAGTTGCCCCCCCAATTAGGAAATTAGCGATCGGCATACGCTACGCGCGGCATCTTCCGACGAAGGCCCCGGCCATACGCGAGACATTTTTCCCTTCACGCCCACAAAGTGCCCCGGCAAAGCGCGAGACAGATTTGCCGCGTGCAACCACCGAAGAGACTAGCCTTATTCATACGATCTGCTCATTCCCTTATCACGCATGGCCTCGGACCATGCCACGCAAAGCGGTGGCCCACACCTCTAAGTAACCTTATAGCTTGGGTCTCTTAATGCGGAAGATGCCGTGCCAAGCCTTTCAGGTCTCGGAAACTTCTTTCGATTCCAGTCAGCTGCAGTTGTGGCCCGGGAATCAGCCCCAAGGTCTGGATATGAGATTACAGGAATTGGGAGTTTGAGATCAGCTCACCGGAGAAGCCTATCAGACAGTCAGGTATGCCGCAACAAAGCATGTTCGTTCGCTGGTCCTAATTATAACGCTGCTCCACCATCCTGATAGAAACCTCTTTTGATCCAGTCAGCAGATGGCGAATATAAATCTGCAGTTGGCCCGGGAATCGACCCGAATATCTGGATATGAGATTACAGAGATCACGGGAGGAGCCTATCGGGCATCTTCGGTCACCGGTCAACAGTCAGGTATGCTGCAACAAAGCACGTTTGTTGGCTGGTCCTAATTGGAACGCTGCTCCACTATCCTTCACCAAATGTGAAGGATACGGATCTAAGGGTGCAGATGCCTGATAGAAACTTCTTTCGATCCAGTCAGAAGATGATGGCGAATATAAATCTGCAGTTGAGCAATTTCTCCAACTGAAATCATCCTCATCCTTCCAACATGGATCGATACTTGGTAAAATTGAAGAATGAGGTCAACATGACAGACCATATCGGACGCTTCACCCACAATTACCCAGATGGCCATGTTGTGACACATACCTGGGATATCATCGATACCGGTTTCCTGAACGCTTATGCCGGTTTGTGTCACCTTCCTCCGTCGATTCCGCAAATCTCTTGCTTACTTACGTGTCATCTATATAGGTAAATTCAGTGCTGCGGTCGTGGAAGCACTCAAGCAACACTCCAACGTTGAACATGTTGTCGAAGATGCTGAGGTTACAACATGCATGATCGCTACTCAGTACTTATTCTCTGGTGCCTTCGTTAACTTGGGGACCATCTGACTCTCTTGTACTATAGGGATACAGCTCCCTGGGGACTTGCTCGCATCAATGGGACTTTGTCCAAGAAGGATGTCAACAACATTACCTACGACTATACGTACGACATGGACAGCGAAACTGGTCGTGGTGTTGATATATATATTCTCGGTGGGTCACATTGGTGTTGAATCAGCGTATAGTGCAGTGCTCAACCAGATTGTTCCCACCAGATTCTGGTAAGGATTACTACATTTCGCACTAGCTCATACTTATTTTTATTCGCCCGAAGGAATCTTCACTGCGCATGTGAGAATATTCCTTTTAATCAGAGATGGCCTTGTGGATGACCTATTTTTCAGTCTGACTTTGGTGGGCGCGCGCGTTGGGGCAAAACATTTAGTGAGCCTTGATGTCTTAGTTCATCTATAACTCCGTTTTTTAATCTTCGCCCTTTCAAGTCGGAACCAATGTATATTTGTTACTATCTTCTAGTGCTCAGAAAGGCTCATTCATCTTCTATCAGGGACAAGATGTGCGTGGGCATGGAACTCATGTTGCGTGAGTCAGAATCAATGGGCATGTGTTTAAATATTGCTAAAAATTAGCAGTGGGATTGCTGGTGGAGCTCGGTGGGGTGTTGCCAAGGCAAGGCGGCACTTTCGATTGGTTTCACGCTAGTTAGCAGCTCACACGTGGTAATAGGATGCCAATTTGATCGCTGTTAAAGTTCTTGGTGATAACGGGTCTGTGAATTGTTTCTTCAACCACCAGTGATGCTGATTGAAGTTTTAGTTCTGGCACGACAATTACGATGTGAGTGGTAATAATACCTATAAATAACGGGTCGACTGATCAACTTGGACCTTTGTCAGCATGAACGGATTGGTATGGGCTGCAAGCCAAGCTCGGTCATCTGGTCGCCCATCTATTGTGAACATGAGCCTGGTGACTGATAAAAACCCGGTTATAAATTATGCCATTGACGGGGTGAGTTTGTTGCCTGTGTTCTCGTATGTTCACGTAGTACTAGCTTCCGGATTTTACTTTAGGCCGTAGCGACTCTGGGAATACATTTCGTCGTACGGGTCAACAATTTTTTACGTCGGCTACACCTCACTATGTTGCAGACAGGTGCAGGAAACGCCGGAAAAGATGCAAAAGATTATAGCCCCGCCAGTGCCCCTAAAGCCATCACCGTTGGAGCGTGTGACATTAATGACAAGATGTGCGATTTTTCCAACTTCGGTACGTCTCCCTGCGGAAATCTACAGCCTGGGCCTAGCAAACCAGATCGGTTTCAAACAGGTTCTAACGTTGATTTCTTTGCTCCCGGATCTCACATTTTCAGTTGTGCAACTGGAGATGGCCCGACGAATCTTAATCGCGGTGTAAATGTTTGTGCTTCCCTCACTTATGCTAGATCATCCTAGTTGAGACGCATGAACCAGGGATATATTGCCTTTGATGGCACCTCGATGGTAGGGTAAAGCTTAGTCATGACATTCTCTGTGAGGCTGATATTCTCATCATAGGCCACACCTCACGTTACAGGGATCATTGCTACCATCCTTTCGATGAATGGAAATATGTCTCCAGCAGACATGGCCACAACAATCAAGGCTCTCAGCATCAAGAGCAAATTGGGGGGTATTCGTGAGTTATTCCCTGTAGAATTTTTAGATATCCTGACCTGTGCTTCCAAGCTAAGGGGACAGCGAATGCATTTGCTCGTGGGTGCATCCATACTCCTGCATGTCTTCGTTTGGAATCCGCTTGGGCAAGGGTGACCACTATAAGTTCACCCTGCCATGCAATCTTCTGTAAAATCAATAATGCAGGGGCCAACAAAGTTATTTCAACCACTAAGATGCTTCAGTTCCGTGGCGAGGTTGACAGCAAGGGAAACGTGCAAAGATACTTCAACCATGCAATCAAGTGAGTACTTTTATCTGGGGTCGCCCCCAGGTGCTGAAGCATGTATAAGCTTTATGATAGTCAGTGCTGACTTACACATTGATATTGCCATACATCGTGGCAGAGACAAGGCCAGGTATGATGACAAAGCTGGCCGTGCCTTCGTTGATTTTGCTGGGGCAAGCCTCACAAGTTTTTTCCCTCCTAATGTGAACTCATGTGAACTCACTTTACAGCGCACCTTTCCAAATGTTGGAATAACTAACAATCCTCTCAACAACATGAGAGTGCACAAAGATTGCCCTGTTGAGTAGTAGGTTTGACAAGGGTCATTTCCACATCAGCATATTTGTAAGATAGTATTAGTTGCTAGTGATCATCATCCCCAATGAGAAATGCAGCTGCCCCTGAACTGGTGCCCCCCACATTTTAAGCCTAGTAATATTACTGGGTTTTAGTGACTGGAAGTCCAGTTTAGCAGTGTAAGTGATAAAAACTGGTTCTGGTTAACTGGGTCACAGCAACACTATCTGCAAGGAAAGGCCATGCTTGCCTAGCCCAACATATGTATATATGGACTATAAGTCCACGAATGAACTAAGGCCTGGTTGCTCAGTGGTTAGCACATCTGGTATATGTTCAAGGAGGTCTTGGGTTCAATCCCCAGTCAGGCCACTTCTTTTCAAGGTCACATGATCTACCCAGCACTATCCACCCTTGTAATAAAGTGGAATAAAAAAGATCCTATGCTAGATCTCATTGTTGATGATGTGCCCTGGGAAATACAGTATCCAAGTATCAAATTTCAAATTTCAAGAGAAACATCCACTCCTCTTGTCAAAACTCAACATAAAGAAATAACCCCTCAAAAAGTACACAAGGAAAAAATATTCAAGACTCATGCAAATGCTAAAAATATGATGATGTGAGTATTGATGTTGAAACTTTAGTTAAGTTCTCAGTGGAACAGCATAGCACCAGAGTAGTTGTGCTTATGATGCAGCTCTTCGTATTATGCATGCCATTTGGAAAGAAAACAGAGAACATTATGATGAATTATTGAAAGAAATGAATGATGATACATATGTATAATGGGAAATTTGGCATTCAATTTTGCCCAGCATAGAGAAGGATCTTTCTTGAGAATGCAAGGGACAACCCAAGGCATTTCTTGCATAGACTTGTACCTCAACATTTTACTTGGGGGCCTATACCATTTGATGCCAACAGTTACAATCCTCTCAAAACTTATGTATATGTAAAAACAATCACTGAGTAGAAAACCAAAGGCCAAGTAACAACGCATGCTGCTTAATTTCAACTGGAATATACCAATGTAGTATATGTAGCATGATAACAGATTGGATGCAGACAATGGAAGAGGAGACAGCTCATGCCTGTTCAACCTGTGAAGAAACTGTTACAACCTTTGTCTGCATCAGGCTACTCACTGCAGTGTCCTACCCACATATGCTGTCCCCCTATTTTATTTTTACCTACATATGTTTCAACTTCTATTCCATTCTACCCCATTCCATGATGTTTGAATGAGTTCCATTCTATTTCCATTGCATTATGTATGCTGTTTAAATCCATAGAATAAATAGCATGACCCTGATGTACATACATATGTAGATCATCTTTTGCAATCTCACAGGACCATCATTGCCTATCACCATGTCCCTGAGTCTCACCCTTGATTGTCGATCCTTGCACCTAAGTCTCTACAACCCCATGCTTGGCTTGCTCACTCAACTGCTACTCACTCAGCCCTGGCCCTCAGCAATGATCTTCATCCCTGCCTGGCCTTGCTCACCACCTAAGCCCTTGGCCCAGACTTGACCATTACAGAAACTCTTACTAGAGCCTCTTGCATTCATTGCTCTTTATATTTCTAACTCCTCTTGTTATGATCATGTTGATCTCCACATATGATTGATCTCCACATATGATGCATCCATGCTAAGGGCACTTGACAAAGTAGACTAGTAAGTCCAATGGACAAGTCAAACAATAGGTGAATGGATAAGCTAAGTAATAAGACAACTAGAAGAAGTCTTATACTTGAGATTGATAATGAATGGAGTATGAACAACATTCTTTAGGCAAGATGAAGTGATGTTGAGTTAACAAACTAGAGAATTTGTATTGGACAACTAAGTCGAACTTAGGGTTTGACTCTACAAGTACAATTGTTAGGAGGTTATCCACACACAACCACTAAGACACTCGGAAATGGGGGATGAGAACTAGATTGGTTCTATGGACAACAGAAACAATCGTAAGACTAAGGAACGTATCTAACCCTCAACCCTTATATACCTTTCTCTGTGGCTGCGCCATCACTATTCCGCGGACTGCTGACTTAATCCTCGCTTCCATCCGATTCATCAACCTCTCATCCTAACACCTATAAACAAGGTCGTTACATCGCCTTCTCTTCAAGATTCTCGTCCCGAGAATCTAAGTCCTCTCCGTCGTCTACTTCGTCTTCCCAATCCACTTCACTTCGATCACGTCTCCAATTTGCCCATCTTCGTTGCATATTTTCCAAATAATCCTTATCGAACTTCCCATCTTCCCATCCAAATAACCGTTTGGGCGCGCTTGTCATTGTATAGTTTTGATACGCCCGAAACTTCAATGACTCTCCTTTCGGCATCTCTCTGGGAGCACTCGGTTTCTTTTTATGAAACTGGGCGACTTTTTTACTTGCATGTTCGAGATTATCCGAAGGTTCCCAAGTTGCTTCTTCATGAGGATACCCTTTCCACTTCACCAAATACTCCAACCGTCCTCCATTCTTCCTCTGTCGACTATCAATTATTTCCTCCACCTCGAACTCCGTATCTTTTTTCATATCTTCCTCCTCCTTTCGTCTTTTATCCCACTCTTTCTCTTCCCTCTGTTGTTGGGGAAACTGGGCCGGCGAGTAAGGTTTCAGCCATACTTCATTGAATACGTTGTATATTTTCCATGACGTTGGTATTCTAAGACGATAGGCCGATACTCCTACTTTCCCGGCAACTACGTACGGCCCTACAAATTTCCCTCCCAGCTTCTTAGTCACTCGTAATGTCGGGAGGTTTTGTGTGCTAAGATACACCTTCTCCCCTACTTTATATTCGCGAGAAGGTTGTTTCTTAACATCATATTGTTTTTTCATCACCTCCGCCGCCTTCTTCAATCCGTCCTTCGCTTTTCCCCACGCCTCTGTCAACCGTTCTATCCACTCGTCCACCGCCAATACCTTTCGCTCTACTGCCGGTTCTAATCCTTTCCGGGGGTGTCGTCCGTTGTTCAAAAAGAAAGGAGAAAATCCCGTCGCCGAATGGATTCGGTCGTTATGACAGAATTGTGCTACTGCCAACCAATCGCTCCAATTATCTTGTTGATGATTCACGAACATGGTGAGGAATTCTTTCACCTCTTGATTCACCCTTTCGGTCTGACCGTCTGTTTGTGGGTGGTATGCCGTCGAAGGGTTTGCTTTTATTTTCAGCACTTCATACAACTCTTTCATGAATTTCGACACGAATTGGGGTCCTCGATCGCTGATCACCTTTTCCGGTATTCCGTGTTCCCTGAATACATGATCCCTAAATAATACCGCCGTTCCTTTACTTGTCAACGTAGTATTGGTAGGTAGGAAGTAGGCTTTCTTCGTGAATCTGTCAACTACTACTAAGACCGCGTCGTATCCTTTCGATTCCGGCAAGGGACCAATCATATCCACCGATATTATTTGCCATGGTCCTTGCGGAACTTCGTTTGGATTCAACGGGGCTGCCCTCTTTTGTCGATCCGGTTTAACCGTTTGGCAGATCCGACACCCCTTCACATATCCTTCTACATCCTTTCTCAATCCCGGCCACCAATAGTTTCGTAATATTAATTCGACTGTTTTATCAACTCCTGAATGTCCCCAAGAGTGATGCACGGCCATTACTTCCTCTCGTAATTTTTTCACTACTGGTACGTACACCCGTTCTCGCCATGTCACCATCCCGTTCTCCTGTATTTTCCATCCTTCTTCTCTCTGTTCTATTGCCTTTTTTACTTTCTCCTCCCATTGTCGTTTTGTTATCTTTTTTATTTGTTTTTCTATTTCCGGTAGTCCTCCATTCTCATTTATCGCTCGTATAAACATCTCCTCTTTTAACACTATCGTTCCTTCATTGTCTGTTTCCCCTTTATCAAAGTCCGCTCTCCTAGATAACGCGTCTGCCTTCGCGTTGGCCTTGCCCGGTCGATGTTTCAACGTAAAATTGTATTCTTGCAAGTCCAATACCCATCGTGCTTGTCGTCGATTTATATTTTGAGATTTACGGAAGTAGGTGAGATTTTGATGATCCGTTAATATCTCAATTACTTCCTCTGTCCCCTTTAGGTAGTGCGACCATTCATACAATGCGTGCATTATCGCCAACAATTCCTTGTCGTAAACTTCATAATTTCTTTCCGTTGGGTTTAGCGACTTCGAAATAAACGCGACTGGTCTCCAAGTTCCGTCCGACTGCTGTTGAGATAGCACCGCTCCCATTGCGAAGTCCGACGCATCCGTTTCCACTCGGTATTGCCCCTTATCAGCCGGTATTGCCAATACCACTTCCTCCCCTATTCTCATCTTTAGCCCTTGAAACGCCTCTTCCTGTAACACCGTCCACATCCATTCTTCTTTCCCTGTCAACTTCGTAAGGGCTTTGGCTATTTTCGCGAATCCTCGTACAAATCGTCGATAGAAGTTGACAAAACCCAGAAACTGTTGTAATTCTCTTTTGTTCTTGGGTCGTGGCCAATCAAGTATTGCCTTCACTTTCGCTTTATCCATACGTATCGAATCGTGTGATATAACCAGTCCTAAGAATTCAATCGTGTCTTGATCGAACCAACATTTATCTGCTTTTAACGATAACTTGTGGTGTTCCAGTTTTTCTAGGATTCGTTCAACATGTCGTTGGTGCGCTTCCTTGTTATCTGAAAATACAAGTATATCGTCCATGTAAATCACCACCCATCCTTCCGCTATCTCTTCCCTGAACATGTCATTCATCATAGTTTGGAATGTCGCCGGTGAATTCGTTAATCCGAAGAACATTACTAATGGTTCGAACAATCCTCTATTTGTCCTGAACGCTGCCTTCCACTCGTCTCCCTCCTTTATCCTCACGTTATTATATCCCCATCGTATATCCATTTTCGAGAATATCTTGGCATGACTGAGACGATCGATTAATTCCGAAATCAACGGGAGTGGGTAACGGTTTTTTATTGTCATCTCGTTTAATTTCCGGTAGTCCTGTACTGGTCTCAGCTTCCCATCTTTTTTCTTTATAAAGAAGAAGGGTGACGCCATTGGAGATTTGCTCGATCTGATTCGTCCCGTGTCTAAATTCTCTTTCAAGAATTCGTCCAACTGTTCCTGTTCATGTCGATTGAGTGGGTATATTTTGCAGTCTAACGGTTTGGATCCTGGTATTAATTCAATGGCGTGATCCCAAGGACCGCGCGTCGGTAGTTCGTCAAACATCTTCTTTTCAAAAACCTTTCGGTGACTCAAATAGTGGGCGGGGATCATTTCTTCCCATGTGCGACTTTTTTGATTCGCCGCTGCTATTTTGGTTGCCGTGGTTTCATGCGCTCTCACCCACACTCCTTCATCTTCGTCTCTCATT